CCATGTCATCCGGACCAGAGAGGACAAGGATAGCCCAAGTTGTTATCAACGCTCCGTTCAGAAGCCTGCATCACTGATGGTATGGGGTTGCATGAGCGCTTGTGGCATGGGCAGCTTGCATGTCTGGAAAGGCACCATTAATGCAGAGAACTATGTTCAGGTTCTAGAACAACATATGCTCCCATCTAGACGTCATCTCTTTCAGGGAAGACCCTGCATTTTTCAACACAATAATGCCAGACCACATTCTGCAGCAATCACAACATCATGGCTACGTAGGAGAAGGATCCGGGTACTGAAATGGCCAGCCTGCAGTCCAGATCTTTCACCTATAGAGAACATTTGGAGCATTATAAAGAGGAAGGTGCAACAAAGAAGGCCCAAGACGATTGAACAGTTAGAGGCCTGTATTAGACATGAATGGGAGAGCATTCCTATTTCTAAACTTGAGAAACTGGTCTCCTCTGTCCCAGACGTCTGTTGAGTGTTGTAAGAAGAAGGGGGGGGGATGCCACACAGTGGTAAAAATGGACTTGTCCCAACTTTTTTGGGATTTGTTGACGCCATGAAATTTGGAAACAACAGATTTTTCCCTTAAAATGATACATTCTCTCAGTTTAAACTTTTGATCTGTGATTTGTGTTCTATTCTGAATAAAATATTAAATGTTGGCACTTCCACATCATTGCATTCAGTTTTTATTCACAATTTGTTTAGTGTCCCAACTTTTTAGGAATCCTGTTTGTATGTACGTACATATGTACATACATATATACATATGTACATGCCTTTGTTTTGCCTGTAGTTTATTGTTAGTTTCTAACATAAACCCAATGTCAAAATTATAAAGCAAACTTAAGGCAGCTGTGGCTGAATGGTTAGACCAGTTGTCTTTCAATGGGAAAGTTGGGGGTTTGATTCCACCAGCAGTCACATGTTGAAGTGTCCATGAACAAGACACTGAATCTCTCATTGCCTCTGATGTGTGTCCCATCAGTGTATGAATGTGATCTAAAGCACAGATTAGTCTCTTTAGATAGTATTTGTTTGATTATCTTTGTAGAGATGTAGTAGAGTGCTGTTTGAATGTGTGTGTGGAGGTAAATGAGGACACAAATTGTGCTGTAGAGCGCTGTGAGTATCTTGATTAGATGAAAAGGTGCTATACAAGTACAGTCCATTTACCATTTACTGTGCTCAGGTGAGTAATTTCAGTCAGCTGAAAGTGCCATGGTGTCAGTTTAAAAACAAAATAATATAGTGTAGATTTGTTATCTTTATAAGGTCAAGGCCTTTTTATTACGGGGATGAGTCATAACTTACAAATCATTAAAACATTTCAGTGCATATTTCAGAAACAAAGCAGACTGGAAGTGGCATGTGATCAAGTACATTCCGGGAATTAGGGAAGCAAAGCTCAGCCGTTAACCGTAAGCTCCGGAGTAAACATTTTTACAAAAACATAGACTAATATGGTGTCATCTGTTGAAACTGAAGCCAGGAATGTTTTGCAATAATCAAACTATTTTAGGAACTGCATGCCTGTGTGTGTCCTTTATTAAAAAAAAAAATTAAACTCTCCTGATCTTGATTTTAAAAAAGGGCAGATTCAATTTTCAATTCAATTCAGTTTGTTTATATAGTGTCAAGTCACAACAGAAGTCATCTCAGGACACTGAACAGAAACACAGAAATATCCAGCCAGGATTCTGGGAGAGGCGTGCCAAGGGCCCAACAAAAATAAGATGAAAATAACTGACAAACTTTGAACTTTTTATTTATAGTTACTCCATGTAAATTTAGGTTTATGCATGATAATATAAAACCAACAACGGTCCACCATAATTACAGTAAAATTGTTCAGTTGTGAAGTTTTATAATCCATTTCTACTTTAGTTCAATTAATTAAAATAAAATAATTGTAGTTCACAATTTATAAATGTAAAAATAGCAAAACACTAAACAGTAAAAGGTTTGCTAAACGTAATACAAAATAATCTAAAAGTACCAAAGGGCTAGCTTAATGCTAAAAGTAGCAAAAAGGAAGATCAATCAATGGGAAGCGTAAAGTACTGAAATGCTAGCTTCAAAGCTAAACAGGCTAGCACAAATCTAAAAGTGTCAAATGACTAGATATAAACGAAAAGTAGCAGAATGGTAGCTGAAAGTAGGATAAGAAGACAAAAGTGGAGCAAATATACTGAAGAAGTTTAAAAAATGATAAGAACTGACATATTTATATACTTCTCTGGGCATATTTGTACATAAAGTTTTCCTTTTAAGTATTAAAATTACAAAGAGGGTGGCATGATGGTGCAGTTGGTAGAGCTGTTGCCTCTCAGCGAGCAGGTCGCCGGTTCAAATCCTGGCATGGGTCCTTTCTGGGTGGAGTTTGCATGTTCTCTCCGTGAATGCGTGAGTTTTCTCCAGGTACTCCAGTTTCCTCCCACAGACCAAAAACATGCATGTTAGACTGATTAATAACTCTAAATTGTCTCTAGGTGTGAGTGAGAGAGTGAATGGTTGTCTCGTTTGTCTCCATGTGTCCCTGTGATGGACTGGAGACCTGTTCAGGGTGTCTCCCACCTCTCACACAGCGATGGCTGGATATGGACACCAGTGACCCCCGTGACCCAAAAAGGAAGAAGTGGGTAAAGATAATTTCTAAAATAGCACAAAGTATGTAAAAGTTGTAAAACTGTAAATAATAATAATAATAATAATAATAATAATCATTTAAATAATAATAATATACACTTCCTGCCCCCCTTCCCCCCCCCAAAAAAAAGAAGTCACCACCTGGATTTAACTAAGCAAATAGGTACGAGCCTCCTATTGGATAATTACTGCATGGACGATCATCTTTCAGCTGACAAGTTATTTAACACCAGCTGGTGCAATGAGTTGCTTCTCATTTCTTAATAACCATGTTGACAGACACATCACGTGGTCGTGGAAAAGATGTCAGTCTGTTTGAGAAGGGTCAAATCATTGGCATCAAGCAGAGAAAACATCTAAGGAGATTGTAGAAACTACTAAAATTAGGTTAAGAACTGTCCAACGCATTATTAAAAACTGGAAGGATAGTGGGGACCCATCGTCTTCGAGGAAGAAATGTGGCTAGAAAAAAATCCTGAATGATCGTGATCGACGATCACTTAAACGTTTGGTGAAATCAAATGGAAGAAAAACAACAGCAGCACTCAGGGCTATGTTTAATAGTGAAGGTAAGAACATTTCCACATGAACAATGTGAAGGGAACTCAAGGGACTGGGGCTGAACAGCTGTGTAGCCTTAAGAAAACCACTAATCAGTGAGGCTAACTGGAAAAAAGCTTCAGTTTGTTAGGGAGCATAAAGATTGGACTCTGGAGCAATGGAAGAAGGTCATGTGGTCTGATGAGTCCAGATTTACCCTGTTCCAGAATGATGGGTGCATCAGGGTAAGAAGAGAGGCAGGTGAAGTGATGCACCCATCATGCCTAGTGTCTAGTCATCAATGCAAGATCTTGGTGAAAAGTTAATGCAACACTGGACGGAAATAGATCTTGTGACATTGCAGAAGCTTATCGAAACAATGACACAGAGAATGCATGATGTAATCAAAGCTAAAAGTGGTCCAACAAAATATCAGTGACCTTTTTTTTTTATTATTGGTGGCATCTTTTTTTTTGGCCAGGCAGTGTAGAACTTGCAGACAATTCAGTGAAACCGGAAAACAGTGGTGTGACTTGATACAGGGGGCTGAACTGGGACTAAAGTGTTTTAACACCTGCCAGAAGAAGATAGCGTGTTTAAAAAACCAACACTAGGTGGCACAAAGTGTTTATTCCCCCTGATTATAACCAGATTAAAATGCATATTCTTTCTTTTGCTTTCTTTTCAGTGACTGGATCCTGCTTTTTTATATTCAGCAGTGCCCTCAAAGCATCTGCAGGATTCCTGGCTAAGTCCAGCATCGTTGAGGGTACGATATCCACTTACAAGGGAGACCAGATTGATTACCACGTTTTACCTGCTGGCAGGAATTTTATTATTTAGGTTTGGGGAAAAAAAGTCAAGTATCCCTGCCTGAAAACTGTTTTGAGCGGAATGTGGTGGTCTTTGTATACGTGTTTGTCAGGGCGTGTGTACATGTTGATGCACGTGAGCGTGGGTTTGTTTGTGTGTTCCTCTTGTATTGCTGTCCCCCCTCTCCTTAGATGGGCTTATGGTGCAGGTCACCGTGGAAACCATGGCGGAGGTTCGCAGGTCGCTCCGGGAGATGAAAGACTACACGGTCATATGTGGGCAGCTCGACCAATCAAAGAGCCAGGAGCTCGTTTGTTTACAGTGGGTGGAGGAGAAATGTGCAGTGAACAAGGGGTGGGTGTTTATACCTGTTTGAACTGAACAATACAGGTCAAAGGACAATCTAACACAGTAGAAAATGACACATTTTGTTAAAGCCTAGAATTATTATTTTAAACAATGCATATTTCCCATCACCTTTCATCCCAGAGTTGTATTAAACTGTCCCAGTGAATGTGCTTTATAGTGTCATAAGCCCCATTGATGGAACATCCATGGAGTTTGTTCGGAGTAAGAAGATGTTCCAGAAGTCAGAATACAAAGAAAATGGAAAGATCATCCGCTGGACAGAAGTATGTATGATGTTTTACATGTCCTCATATTGGAGTGCAGTTGACATTCACGTGAACCTCTTCCTGCAGGTGTTCTTCCTGCCGAGAGGCCACAATCCCAAAGGTGGAGCCACTGACTCAGCCGAACACAGCCGGCTGACGGAGCGGATTGCTCGAGCGTTTTGCTTGGCACTTTGTCCTCACCTGAAACTGCTAAAAGAGGATGGGATGGCCAAACTGGGGCTGCGTGTCACATTTGACTCCCAAGAGGTCAGAAAAGATTTAGTGAGGAAATATGACAATATTTCTTCTAATAGTTCAGTTTGCCATACACCTTGCAAGCATGCGATGTCTGCCACATTTCCTGTTTCACATTTATTTTATAAACTGGACATTTGTCAGAGCTGATTTCGACTTGTTATATTGTATAAATACTAGAAAAACTGTGAATGCTGAGTGCTGATTGGCTGTTGAAATTTGCTGAAGAAGCTGAAACTTGGTCAATCTTAAAGCATAAAGCTGAAATAGTCTATACTCATGCTAAATGTAGTGAAATGCTTGCAAATAGCCAAGAGGATCAAAGGCTAATAAAAGTTTTGGCTAAAAGCAGCAAAAGTTTAAGTGAAATTTAGCTCACTGCCTTGTACTGGAACATGTCAAGCCCACATACCATATGGCCCACCAGAGGTTTAAATGCTCCAGAATTTTTTTTTGGGGGGGCGCCGGGAAATTTCTTTTTTTTTTTTTTTTTTTTTTTTTTTTTAAGAAAAGTCGCAAGAAATATGGATAGGGTGGATTTGGAGGTGTACACATTGTTTGCAGATAAATCAGCAAATGTATTGACGAAGTGAAAGAAAAAAAAGGAACAAAACGAAAGAAAGACGCAGACATGCAAACATAGATGTGTGCACATAAATATATGAAGATATTATGTGCGTTTCAGATTAGTTTGTAATATTTGGGCTAAATAGCTTTTTTTTTTTTAATGGGCTGCTTTTTTTTTTGGCTGGGAGATTCACGTCATGGGGACATTGTTTTTGCATACATGACAAAAACTGAGTTGAAAGCAGCAAAAGGTAAGCTGAAATCTAAAGTAACTACAGTAAGGATAAGCTTTTGCTAAAAGTAGCAAAAAGTTTTTCCAAAAGTATCAAAAGACTTGTAGCCTATATAAGTTAGCCTTATACGTTAGCATTAATTCTAACTCATAACTCATGTTAGCATTAAACTTTTATGCCTTACAGTAAATGGTTGAGTACTCTTATAGTCAGAAACTTATTACCCATAGATTTTAATGCCTGGTTTAAGTGTTCAGTTTTTCTCAAAAGCCTGAGATTCTTCTGTATTCAGTCTAGGAGGAAAACAATTATTCAAATGTTTGTGTCAAAGCTTAGTAACGATGTTTATAGTACAACTTTCTGTGCAAGACTGTGCTAAAGTTGATTAATAGCTCGTTTCATCATTTTAGGTGGGATTTGTGGCTGGAAGCAATGGGCACCATCTCCCAGCTCAGTACCTCAACGCCTTGGACAGTGTGCTGATCCCAGTCATCCACAGCAGGGGCCGCACGAGAGGAGAAGAGCCCATTGTGATGGAACTCATCTTTTACATCCTGGAGAACATCACTTAGTATACTTCAACTCCACACAAGTTTGTCTCAACTCTGACCACAGCTCTGGCTTAAGTCCCGCCATCAGTTTCCATTTAAACCAGGACCGCAACCAAGGTCCTCCAAAACCTAAAAGAGACGAGCGGTCTGACTCCAAGTCCGAGAAAAGCATGAAATTAACGATGGACTGATGATCAGAATCCAGCTCCTGCTCTGAAGAAGAAACGTCATGGCTCGTCATCATTCATGTCACATTAGGATGATACCTTTTAAGATATGGGCTGGATTCAGCCTACGACCTTAAAGCAAAAAGAACGGAAGGAAAAAAACAAGTTTAGGAATTTTATGTAGTCGATATGTAGCGGTTTCACATGTTGGATGAATGTGTAAAGAATGTTTTCATACTGGATGCGTTATAAGACTGATCATGAAACGCAACGTTAGCTTGAAATTAAACTTGAAACAAGGATTGTGTAGTTGTTCCCTCTGGAACCTTTGCATGTTGTTTTACTTAGTTTATACCACCAACCAGCTGAAGCTTAGAGAGCAATATTGTATTATTACTAACAAGAATTTTAAGTGTTTCAATTTTGAAATACTCTAAACACTAGGTCCATTAAAGGCCTATTATTTCTTTAATGATTGCATGTCGCCTGACACTTTTTATGCCAGTTGATCTTATGGAAAATAAGACTTTAGTAAGTTTTTAAAATATATTTGAAAAAATGTGTTTGTAATTAGTTGGAAAGTTTGACTTAACATTGTTTAGAACAACTTCACTTCTAAAATTATTGAAATCCACAACAATGAACTAGCTTCCACTGGTTCAATCATTGAAATGGATTCATTACAGATTACACCATTTCTGTGCCAAAAAGTAGCAAACACGCAGAAGCATCGAGCGCATCCTTACTGGTTCCAGAAAAATTTCAGAGGTAAGCTACCGTCAGATGCAGCTAATCACATTCTAAATTAGTTGAACATTAACAAGCGTTTGCATTTCTATAAATGCAGAAGTTGTCAGTTTCCTGTTAAGGAGCTTTCAGTGGTGTTTTAACACCATGACAAAAGAGAAAGCTGTCATGCTAAAGTGAGAGATCGTTTAAGAGGGGAAAACATGACAGTTTTTAATCTTAAATAAAATTGCCTTAAGTTCAAAGTGCCTAGTCATTCCATACAAAACAGGTCACAGGTAAAGATGCTACATGTTAAAGTTAACAGCAGTAGAAATATTTAAAAAAGGCAGGAGGAATGCATCTTGCTTGAAAGGAATGTCAGATGAAAGACTCTTTAAATTAACATGTCACCCTGACTTGGGTTTGCAGTCTGATCTGAAAAACTAAAAATACTAAGAAGTCATTTAGACAGGAGGTTCAAAGTAGAGGTATGTGGTGATTAAATGATCCCATGTGCAGCAGCAAATTTACAACTAAATGACTGAAAATAAACAAGGTGGTATGGTTCAAATCCAGACCTCAGTCTTTTTGAGGTTCCATGACAAGATCATCATTTACAAAGACGCCAAGTTTCTGAATCAAGGGCCCTGCTCAGACTTCCTAATCTTGTACTTTAAGCTTTTATTTTCTTCTTCAAATGTACCCATGGATGGTTCACATCAGATAAAGACCTGTCATTTCCTATAATACCATCAATATACTTTTTATGCATGACCCGACAAACTATTCCTTGTGAAGCAAATGAAAATACAAATCATTTAGTTCCAAGGCAGACCGTCGTGTTACAGTAATTCTGATCTGCTGCATGCCATGAATAAAGTGAAAGCATAATAGGTTTTTGTTTGCTGCCCACCTAATCCGCATACTTGGAATATTCAAGACGATGGGCACATGCAAGCATTGCAAATAGTTTCCTCTTTTGTTGCAACACAATGAGTCCAGTGAATTGACATCTTCAACTAGAAATCGTCACCCACAGAACAACCATCCAGAAACACTGCGGAAAAATACTGACACGATGCAAAGCATAATTTAAAACAATTTATTTGCAATTACATTTTAAATAGACAGTAACAAAATTTAGAAAGCATGCCAATGCAGTTATTTTCTTGTTTACAGTAAAACTATTTACAAAACAATTTTTTGTCTTCAAGTTTATTAGAAAACGTCTTCTGTCCACAGGGTGGGGTCAGAAAAAGTCAGCAAATAAGCTGAAAGGCCACCAGTGTGATACTGAAATACATGGTTGCTTGCAACATCAGTGAAGACCAAACATTATGTGACAATATCTTCTCTTCATACATCGTGCTCCATAGATGGTTCCCTTCTCAAAAGAAACCAACCCAATTAACAAAGCAAATGTGGAACCCCAGCTGTGGAAGTCATAGACCACATTGTTCTTCCATGTTTTAAACAAGAATCTAAAAGCCGTAAAACAGTCTAATTATCTTTGGAATTCATAGTAATTTTAACAAGCTGACAAGGTCATACTTCAGGTGCGTTTCCCTTCCAAAGTCTATGCCTTCTTCATCTTTCCATTGTGGGCACGACCATTTTCATAGGGAGCAGAGCCATTGCTGGTGCCGTTGGTAGCTGTGTGGTTGATGCAGTTACTTGTGCCATTTTCATAGCATTTGCTGTTTTCATACAGTTTGCCATTCTCGTGGACTTTACTATTCTTGTGGATTTTGCCATTTGTGTAAACGGTTGTGCCATTCTGATGATGCTTGATGTCCTGTTTTGGCAGACGCTTACCCTTCACGTAAGCCTGGATCCAGAAGTTGGAGAAGAGGATAAAAAACAAGGTTCCATACATCCAAACGAGGTGAATGACTACAGGGAACTGGTAGTCACAGTGGTCCATAAAGTACCACTGGGTGGCATGAAGAGAGACCAAAACAAACTGGATCTGTTTGGGGAAAAAATAAAGAAAAATCAGTGGTCAGTCATGCACATAAAAAGAAATGTGGAGGCGTGTCTAGATCTCTAGAATATAATTTGGCACTTTGAGGCACCACAGCATATCCACTTGCCACAAGAAAAGTATAAACACACACAAAAAAAAAAAAAAAAAAACCTTTCAATGAATGCAACACATCCTTACCAACTGAATAGCCGTCATGTACTTCTTCCACCACAAAAACTTCTGGAAGCGTGGGCCAGCAGCAGAAAGACCATAGTAGAAATACATGATGATGTGGACAGAGGCGTTCACCATAGCATGGAAAGATCCCATTCCCCCTTAAAGAGGAAACAGACCACTAGTCAAACTCCAGTAGTCAAAATTAAACTTTACCGTTGTGATAAGATCAAGCATTAAAGTTTAAATCACAAGTCAAGGTTGATACATTTTTTTTAATACCCAGATAAATTTTAATAGTAGATTACACACCAGGGTTTCTTGAAATACCATCTAATGAGGTCAAATATCTTGCCAAACAGGAGATTGTGACAGACTGTACTGTTTGTTAAATTGATATGTGAAGTCAAATATCTAATCCACATCCAGACTTGTCTGATTTTTATCCATCAATTATTTTCTAATCAGTTTAATGTGTACTCACCAGGAGCATAACCAACTCCCCACCACCAGGTCCAGGGCATAAATGAGTGGTGGAAGATATGCAGGAAAGTGATCTGGCCATGTTTTTTCCTCAATACAAAGAAGATCTAACAAAGAAAACACATTTCTAAATATCATGCAAAGACAGCCAGTAACTTGTTTTTTAAATGCATACAGTACTTTTTTATGTACAGTACAACTTACTGTGTCCATCAACTCTATAATTTTTGAAAACCAGAAGAGCCACGCCACTCTAACCATCTATGAATGACAAAACCCAAGTTAATGGACTCATTTCCAAGACTGTGCAAGGCGAAGACATTTTTTTATACATTTTTTTTTTTTTTAGAAGAAACCAAGGAGTTTTAGGAACATACTCGTAGAGCTTGAGGACGGTTTGAGACATCAATTGGATCACATCTCCAGGTATATGTTGTGGCCCATCCAGACATCATAAACTGAAAATTACATGGAGAAAAAAAAAAAAAATGACTTTCTGTTTGGAAGCATGATGAAGAGGAAAAAAAAAAGTACATTTAATTGAGTTGGACTCTTACCTCATAAACAATAACTAATGACAATGCCACCAGCATGAAGTTGTACGCTATCATGGGTTCCTTGAGCTGGAAGGGTGCACGCTTGGCCATTATGCGAGGTCCAAGGTACAGTACGAAAAACAAATAGCACAGAAGTATAACAGTCATTGGAACAGGACTCCACATCAGAGGATAATCTTTTATTCGTGGATCTAAAAAAACGGAAGAAAAAAAAATTGCTTAACATAAGGAGAAAAGAAACAAATTCACTTTGCATTTTGTTGTGTAAACCACCTACCAACTCTTGCCACAAGATCGGCATAGACCTCCATGGCGCGTGAGCCAGCCTCCTGGATCTGCTGCAGCATACTGGCTGTTGTGAATTGTTCTGACCAAATTATCTGTGGAGAGGAAACAAAAAGCTCTCCGTTAGTTTAGTTTTATTGTGTTGAAGTTAAAACACAGGAGAACTCCAAAGTATTTTGAAAGAACACTCAGCCACGGAAAGACTACCTTTTAGCTTCCATGTTTAAAATTATAATGTTACCCACCACATGTGCAAATTCTAATTGACTACATATCTTGCAGATTGGAATTATTACTGAAGGGACAAAAAAATATAAAATTGTTTTCTTCCCAAAATCAAACCCCTGAGAAATGGCATAATATCTGAGGTGGAGCAACATCCCACAGCCAGGCAGAGTGTGTGCAACAATTAAATCCAAAGGTTAAGACAATACCACAACTCAGTGCTTCTCAATTATTTTCGGTTACGCAAGTGCAAACTTTTCAAGTGCAAACTTTTCAAGTGCAAACTTTTCAAGTGCAAACTTTTCAAGTGCAAACTTTTCAAGTGCAAACTGAAAAGCATACAGAAAGAGAGGACAGGGTGTGGTCTGCTCAGATGAAGCCATTGTTGACGGTGCTTTGAGTATCTGATACCCACAGCCCTCCTTAAGACAATACGATTAAAAGCCAATCATTGAAACTTGTGGAATGAAGGTCAAGCAGAACCATCGGGTCCCATCAACATGGGCAGGGAAACGAAAAGTTTTGGATGGATCACAGAGCAGAATCTTAAGTTTTAACTCCAAATTATACATTTGGCAAACACTGCCATACCATTTTATTTATAAAGCACTTAAAACAGCAACAAGGCCAACTAAAGTGCTGTACAGACAAAACAACAGGTAACACAAAGCAAAAGTAAAAAAAAATTTAAAATATTCAGCTTCCATTCATTTTATTTTCTTTGCGAATAGGGAAAAAAAAAAAAAAGGTTTAACTTAAAAAGTGCAGACCTGCCATGAACATATTTTTGTGAGGCAATACTTTTGTAGGTAGGTACCACATCCATCCATCCATCCATGATCTTTACCCGCTTCTTCCTTTGCAGGTCACAGGTTGCAAGTCCATCACAGGGACACATCAAGAAACAACCACTCACACTCTCAGCCAGGGACAATTTAGAGTTACCAATCAAACCAACATGCATGTTTTGGTCTGTGGGAGGAAACTGGAGTACCCGGAGAAAACCCACACATGCACAGAGAGAACATTCAAACTCCACCCAGAAATGTCCCAGGCTGGGATTTGAACCGGCGGCCTTCTTGCCGAGAGGCAACAGCTCTACCAACTGTGCCAACTTGCTGCAATTTCCCCTCCATTGTTCATCACAGTGCATTGTCAACAATGCAGCAATTTCCTTGTTGACTTTTACGGCTCCAGGTGATTTACTCTGGTATTTCAGACAGCAACATTACTGATCAACTTCCTTTTGTTGCTGAAATGAACAGTGCTGGCTGTTCACAGGCTTAAGAGGGTTGCAAAAAGTGTACATTCTAATGTTCTATTACACACGGCATACATTGCATTTCACAAATCTTACGTAACACGCTGTGGTTTTTAATTTGTTGCTGATGTATGTTGTCAGTTTCTTCACATTTTGATAACAGTATCATCATGTCTGTTGTCCACTGTGTGTCTTGTTCTGAAAAAAAGGTGCTTAACAGTCAAAAATACAAAATTTTAATAAGCTGGTTTTGTCAAACGAGTAGTGTGAAATGGGAACCATAAGGTTTTTAAATCAATTCTACCTTGTGAGCAAAATTCTTACCCAGTAGGCATCGATAATGAAATTATGAATCGTTTGATGAGACTTCAAAAAAAAAAAAAAAAAAAAAAAAAAAAAATGATTTTATTAAAAAAAAAAAAAAAAAAAAAGTCATACCTAAAATTTTACTTTTAAATTTTTTTGGTAGAACTTAAGCGAACATTATGCAACAGTTGATGTAATAAAAGTCTGCATAACAGTTTGCAGGAAAAAAGTACTGAACAGTCCTGCAACAATAGGGCAGGACTGTTTTTAAATGACAATTGTATAAATAAATAAAAAAAACTGATATCTGAAGATGAAACATGCTTAAAAAAAAAAGTTTTAGGCAAAAAGTCACCAACAAAATGGATGAAAATCAGCAGATAATCTTGTGATTTACACCAAAGAAAACCACACCCATTTTCTAAGACCTCCCTGAAGAAGAGTTCAAAGATCCCCATGATTCCAATTTAAACCAGAAATATACAGGCGTAATCTCAGTCTCTAATCTCCACCCAAGACTCCAGATTTTGTCCAGAGCTATGCTGTAAACTGGTGCACAGCAACACGAGGACAAAAACTCTCATGAATATGACAAGAGTCTCAAGCGTTTAATATTCCCATGACACCATGATGTAACTTGGCTGCGGACACAGCCATTTAAGCATCATAGAAAACTCCCCCCGTCCCTTCACAGCAGCAATAAGCTGCCACCAACTCATTAAACTAAAGCAGAGTCATGTTCAAGTAGAACAAACTCATTTACTCAGTCTACATGACTAACACCCAGGCCATTCATTATGGAGTGAGCTTAACGGTGTTTAGTTTGGTCTACAGAAGAGCAAGTGTGGAATGGAGGGGAAACTTTTCCTCCAAGAGCCATGTCAATGAATCATAGAGATGGAAAAAGGGAGCTCACACTCACGAGTTCAAAGTTAATGATGAACAAGCTAGAGTTGAGGAAAAAACATTTAGGAAAGGACAGGAGTTCATTTATTGTATGCATTATGAGATGAAATATACTGGTAACCCTTCTGAAATGACCAAGCACCCGCAGAAACATAAACTAAGGAGAGAAGCATGCGGGCAGATTTCACACCAAAGTCGTTTCACCCTTCAGTTAACGTTGAGCAACTTACCGTTTCAAGAATGTGTCCTTTAAATCATCAAAAGCAGAAGTAGATTCTTCTCTTCACAGCGTGACAAGGCCTCCCAGTAGAGTAAGAGCAAGCAGGCAGCAGCAGAAAAGGGAAAGCAGCAGAGAAGGGAAACAGAGGCAGAGATGTGGTGGAAGAAGTAAACTGACAAAGTGTGACTGGTACAGCAGTCTTCAAATCCCCACCCTCCCTGACTCATGCAGTGGATGAATAACCAGCTCTCAGAGCAGAGGGAGGGAAAGAGGCAGAGAGGGGTAAAAAGGGTGTGTGGGAGCCGTGCGTGTGTCCATGATGCCGTTCAAAAGGGGTTAGAGGGTCAGAAAACCCCCATTTAAAAACTAAACAAAGAAAAAAAGCAAGTGGTTACCTTATGATCACCACCCTGACGTCAACGAGTTCACTCCCGTTTTTGCTCCCAAAGTCACACCCTGCACTTACTGAAACATAACCCTGGAGTTGCCATGCAAGTTTTTTTTTTTTTTCCTTGGGGTGGGCTGATATTCACATGGAGAGGCTGAGAATCAGTGGAGACTCTGTTATCATGAAGGAAGCCATTGTTTGCCTATCCTGGATCTTTACCCAGCCGACACCCGTTCGGCAAAACTAGCTCGAGTTTTTTTTTCCTTCCCTCCCCCCCTTTTCTTTTTTCTCTTGTGTGGTGAAACTACTAATGAATGCTTCAAGTTAAAGGGTTGTCTCAAAATTATTGTTTACTCAAGGTTGTTTTGAAAAAGAAAAAAATGATTAGACAGGAATGATTGCAGCAGAGAAGGCATGACTCAAATTCTTCTGCACGAGTTAGGTAAGAGTTTTGTTCACAGATAGGAAACTACTTACATGTCAGTGCCACGCCCAAGCACACCAAGCAGAATCATTAAGTTACAAAACAAAAAAATTGGGAACATAGAGATTGTCTCAAGTCAAAGTACTTGCTGAACAAAAAGGGAAAACTGACATTTGTCAGATTTACTTACACATGTCAAAACTACACCACATAGATGAGTATTTTACAAAGACAGTTATATAAAAAAAAAAAAATGTTTTTTAAAAATACACAGACCCCCCCCCCCCCCCCCCCCCACCGCACCCACAGCACCCACCA